CATTATTTTGATGGTCACTTTAGTTTGAATACATTCTAAAAGCACCAACTTGTTACTCCTGCCTCCGTTTTATGTATATGATGTCATATTTTACATCTTCCTATTTTGTGTATACCTTTTATAGCCACACTTGATTTTACCTCTTTTATATTTTAAACTCCATACTGGCGTTATAAAGTTTATAAGTGACTAATTGACTACCTTTCACTATGTTTGCGTTAACCTGTGAAAGTATTTCCTTGTTTAATTTTCTTTCTTCTAGTCATGGACTTTTCTTTCCACTCAAAGTCCCTTTATCATTTCTTGTAGAGGGTTTAATGGCAATGAATTCCTTTAATGTTTTTTTTAGGAAGGAGTGGGTGTCGGGGAAACTCTTCTCTCCTTCAATTCTGAATGATAATTTTGATGGGTAGATTCCAGATTGCTGATCTATTCCTCTGCATTCTCTAATCTGCTGTTGATTCCCTCTATTGTATTTTTCATGACAGTCATTGAATTCTTTAGCTATGACTCATTCTCATTTATATCCTCTAACTCTTTGTGGACATTGTCACTGGGTTTATCCACTCCTTTTTCAAGTCTATTGAGTATCTTTATGACCATTACTTTGAACTCTTTATCAGGCATATTGCTTACCTTTGCTTCATTTAGCTCTTTACTGTGATTGGCTTGTTCCTTCATTTGGGACATATTCTTCTGTCTCTTTATTTCAAATAACACTCTGTGTGTGTTTCTATGCATTAGGTAGGGCAGTTATATTTTCTGATCTTTAAAGTAGTGACCCTGTGTAAAAGAAGTTCTGTGGTGCCCTATAGTTCAATTCTCCCATGTTACCAGAACCAGGTGTCACAGGCGTATCCCTTCTGTGGGCTGCATGAGCTCTTCTACTGTGGCCAATCATAGCTGTCTTCATCCCAGATAGCTGCTATGGCCCACTTTGCCTTTTGTGAGCACACCTTTGAGAGTCCTGGCTGGACTGGTTGGTGGGTGAGGCCATTACTCATTCTAGCAGTGTGCTATTAACCTCTATGCCAAGACTGCACATACATTGAAGTTCAGGGCTCAGTCCCTTCCCTGTACATGCAGTAAGGCTACAGAAATTGTGGGTGTCCGGCACACAGAACCACAGAAATTGTTGGTTTGTTACCCTCTCCACATGACTGGAGTCACTTTGTAGTGGTGCTGGCCTGGGTCAAAGCTTCCATCCAGGTGTAGTTGGTTAGGAGCAGCTTTGGAATTTTGCCTGCCATGGCAGGCAGGTCGGGTGTGGTTTGTCCTCAGAGGAATTTCTTGGTGAAGCACTTGTTGATGCCAAGGAAGATGGAGAGTGTTAGAAATGACTCCTCTAAGCCTCTGACTATTTACTCTGGGAAAGGCTAAGACATTATTGATATGTAGAACTTTCATTCTTGAAGAAATCAGTAGATCCCTTTCCTCCAGCACATGTTCTAAGATTAAAAATAAATGTCTTTCATGTACACTTTAGGCACTTTTCAAACTGCTGTTTTTCTGCTGTGTCTTGGGCCCATTTATTTAGTATCCTGGCTCTTTAAGGGTAAGTACTCAGGTTCCTATCAACCTTCGGCTTTCATGGTATTCAGGTTACTGATTTTTAAAGCTCCTAAAGTTAATGCCTGTTGGTTTCCAAAGCCAGACATTATGGAGACTTTCCCTTCCTGTGGTGTCCCCAATGCCAGTAGTGCCCTTTGAGGTGTCTGAGTCACTTCTCTATGATTGTGATGTCCCTCTTGCTTGTATTTACTCACAGAGGGAGTTTGATTCCAAACTACATCTCTACCCCTCTTACCTTTTTTAATGTGGCTTTCTAAGACTAGCTGTGCAATGTCATTTCTGCTAGTGTTTAGCAGCAGTTAGTTGAATAGATGTAGTATTTGCCTAGGTATTTCTGTGGGAAGAGGTGAATTCAGGATTCTTCTAGTCTGCCACCTAATTTCCTTTCCCAATTTGCTCTTGCTTTTGAATTAAGGTAAGAATTCACAGATGAGGTGAAGTGAGTATTTTTAATAATGGTTATGAAAAGGGGCGCCCAGGTAGCTCAGTCAATTAAGCGTCTGACATCAATTCAGGCCATGATCTCATGATTCATGAGTTTGAGCCCTGCATCAGGCTCTGTGCTGACAGCTCAGAGCCTGGAGTCTGCTTCAGATTCTGTGTCTCACTCGCTTTGCCTCTCCCCCACTAGCACTCTGTCTCTCTCTCTCAAAAATAAATCTTAATTTTTTTTTAAAAATAATGATTATGAAAAGATATATTTTCTATATAGGTGTTAATTTTTTAGTGTTAAAGTAAAGACATTTATGTAGGATGGTGATGTGTTATCAAAGATATTCCTAACAGGATAGTTAAAGACTCCTTATTCCCACAGCATTTACCACAATGGAAAACATTGAATCAATAAATTTCCTACAGAGTTCAATAAAAATGTAATTAGCATTTCTGGGTAGAACACTCTGTTCTACCCTGGTTTTATCTCCAAACCTTCTCAAGTGGCACTCCAGAGATCTGTATGATGAAAACTATAGAAAACTTATGAAGGAAATTGAAGAAGACACAAAGAAATGGAAAAACATTCCATGCTCATGGATAAGAAGAATAAATATATTTAAAATGTCATTACTACCTTAAGCAATCTACACATTCAATGCAATTCCAATCAAAATTGCACCAGCATACTTCTCAAAACTAGAAAAAACTATCCTAAAATTTGTATGGAACCACAAAAGACCCCGAATAGCCAAAGTAATAATGAAAAATAAAACCAAAAAGGGAGGTATCACCAACCCAGACTTTAGCCTCTACTACAAAGCTGTCCATCATCAAGACAGTATGGTATTGGCACAAAAACAGACCCATAGACCAATGGAACAGAATTGAGAACTCAAAAGTGGACCCAAATGTATACAGCCAACTAATCTTTGACAAAGCAGGAAAGAATATCCAATGGAAAAAAGACAGCCTTTTTAACAGATGGCAGAAGAGAAACGTTCTGGAAAGTACCCTTTGTTTTGAGTCCTACTCCATTTGACCTTTTTGAGAGTGCTAAGTGGAGAATACTTAGCAGCCATCCAATCCAGTTCTCTCCTCTGTAATTTCCATACCTTGTGCCAAGTGGTACAGATCCCTTTCAACCTGAACTGGGCATTTAGAAATACTTTATGACCATTTAGGAAAGATCGGAATGATCTCTTCTAGTTCAGAAACACAATTTTATAATTTTATTAGTTGGAAATACAGCTTAAATACTGGATTATAGTGTGCGTGCTTTTTGACCACTTATCAAATAAATTTCAAAAGATAATTGTCTCCTATGTTTATAATGTTCAATATTATAAAGTCTGACATGTTATAAACATTTAGGAAATAATCTGTTGATGACATAGCCTTCAATTATAGTAAAACCAAAAAGACTTTTCAGAAAATGACAGATATTCTTTTCTGAGTAATATTATTTTCCATTAACAGCTTAGGCCTGTTTATCTTTGCTTTGTCAATTACGATATTCTAAGAAAAGAACTTTTGTATGTGGATAGAATGATTGTTTGGCCAAAATTTTGTAAGGCCCCAAAGTTACCTAGTAAGATACAATATTGATTAACAAAAGGATAACAATTATATATCTATGCTGAAAACATGTTGATATATAGACAGATATCTCATGTCAAAATTAAATAAAATAAAACTATGTATGACACACTCACAACATAACCCTTTCAGTTTAGGTACAAGTGATTTTAAGAAAAGGTCATCTCTTGGCCAACAGACACATGAAACGATGCTCAGCATCCCTCCTCATCAGGGAAATACAAATCAAAACCACACGGAGATACCACCTCACACCAGTCAGAGTGGCTAAAATGAGCAAATCAGAGAACTCTAGATGCTGGCGAGGATGTGGAGAAACGGGCACCCTCCTACACTGTTGGTGGGAATGTAAACTGGTAAAGCCCCTCTGGAAAACAGTGTGGAGGTTCCTCAGGAAACTAACAATAGA